TTGTGTGTGGTTCTGTGTGGTCTGTGTGTAGGCTGTGTGAGGGTGTGTTGTTGTTTCCCCCCCCCCCCCCCCCCCCCCCCCCCCCCCCCCCCCCCCCCCCCCCCCCCCCCCCCCCCCCCCCCCCTGGTCATCGTGTGTGAGTCTGTTGTGTGTTGTTTTTGCTTTCTTTTCCCCTATTTTTTTAACGATTTGTTTTCAAGTAAATCATCAGGAAAGGGAGCGAGAGAAAGCAAGCAAAGGTGTGGGGATTATAGCCTTTGGCTTTGTAGGAAAATGTCCAACCCTGCTACCGCTAAAAACAACAACAACAAACGACACGGCGGCCGGCGGCGCGCGGGCGTAGGGGAGGGGCCGCGGCGGGCTGGGGGCGGCGGGTCCGGCCGGCGACTAGACGGAAGAGCATCCGGGGAAAAAAAAGAAAAAAAAAAAAAGACAGAAAAAACAAAGAGGAAAAAAAAAAGGAAAAAAAAAAAGACCAAAACACAGAGCGAGAGAAGAGAGAGAGGAATTTCTAGAGAGGAGAGAGAGAGGAGGAGTGAAGACGATTAGGAGATTTGAGGAATGGAGGATGATTTCACGCTAGCGAAAAAACCAAAGGGAACCGCGTTTTGTATTGTGATTTGAGAACTCGAAATAGGGGCTGTATTTTATGTTAAAAACGGAGCTGGATTCACAGAAGAATGTGTCGCTTTGAGGAGAGTTTGATTTGAGTTTAATAAGATCCACATTAGTCACTGACGCGGGTCTGAGGGCTCAGCACATGGTACTCTATAATCAATACAACACACACACACACACAGACTGACACAGACATACACACACACACACAGACTGACACAGACACACACACAGACTGACACAGACACACACACACACACAGAGACTGACACAGACACACACACACACAGACTGACACACAGACACACACACACACACAGACTGACACAGACACACACACAGACTGACACACACACACACACACACACAGACTGACACAGACACACACACACACACACAGACTGACACAGACACACACACACACACAGACTGACACAGACACACACACACACACACACAGACACACACACACACACACACACAGACACACACACACACACACACACAGACTGACACACAACCCCCACAGACTGACACACAGGTACAGACTGACACAGACACACACACACAGACTGACACAGACACACGCACACACAGACTGACACACAGACACACACACAGACTGACACACAGACACACACACAGATACAGACTGACACACGCACACACAGACTGACACACAGACACACACACAGACTGACACACAGACACACACACACACACAGATACAGACTGACACACAGACTGACACAGACACACGCACACACAGACTGACACACACACACACACACACACAGACTGACACACACACAGACTGACACACAGGCACAGATACAGACTGACACACAGGTACAGACTGACACACAGACACACACACAGATACAGACTGACACACAGACACACACACAGATACAGACTGACACACACACAGATACAGACTGACACACACACACACACACAGATACAGACTGACACACACACACACACACACAGATACAGACTGACACACACACACACACACACAGATACAGACTGACACACAGACACACAGACTGACACACAGACACACACACAGACTGACACACAGACAGACTGACACACAGGTACAGACACACACACAGACAAGACACAGACACATAAACACACAAAGACTGACACAGACACACACACTGACAGACACGACACAGACACACACATGGTGGCACAGTGGTGCAGTGGTTAGCGCTTGTGCTTCACAGCAAGAAGGTCCTGGGTTCGATTCCACTGCCAGGCCTTTCTGTGCGGTGTTTGCATGTTCTCCCCGTGTCTGCGTAGGTTTCCTCCGGGTGCTCCGGTTTCCCCTACCACTAAAACATGTGCCTCCTGTAGGCTCCTGCTCCCTCTCTGAGTGGGTTGAGGGACAAACGGCCAGAACATTCATAAAGTGCTTTGTGACCCTGGTCTGTGAAAGGTGCTATATAAATAAATACTGCTCCATTCATTTAAATGCAGAATTAAAATGTCTCTTTACATCTGTCTCTTTGTTTATCGTCAGTCTCTGGTTCAGGTTAGTTTTCCACCGCAGTAGCAAGTGCTAGTTACCATAGCAACACACTGTTTAATGTTAGCAGTTAGCATTTTGTCCTTAGCTTTTCAACAAAGAAGGTCTGAGGAGGGTTTGATAAACAGGAGAGAGTGTGATGAAGAGAGGCACCCTTCTCTCTCTCTCTCTCTCTCTCTCTCTCTCTCTCTCTCTCTCTCTCTCTCTCTCTCTCTCTCTCTCTCTCTCTCTCTCTCTCTCTCTCTCTCTCTCTCTCTCTCTCTCTCTCTCTCTCTCTCTCTCTCTCTCTCTCTCTCTCTCTCTCTCTCTCTCTCTCTCTCTCTCTCTCTCTCTCTCTCTCTCTCTCTCTCTCTCTCTCCTCTAACAGAGAAGGTCTGAGGAGAGTGTGTGATGAAGAGAGGCACCTGTTGTTTGGAGAGGTAGTCCGCCAGCGTGTTCAGAAGCTTGTAGAAGATCTCAAACCAGGGGAGATAACTGTGAAGACACAAGGTTTTAACTCACATGGTCCTGAGGCAGAGATACAGAACATGTCACAGTACAGTCTAACTCACATGGTCCTGAGGCAGAGATACAGAACATGTCACAGTACAGTCTAACTCACATGGTCCTGAGGCAGAGATACAGAACATGTCACAGTACAGTCTAACTCACATGGTCCTGAGGCAGAGATACAGACCATGTCACAGTACAGTCTAACTCACATGGTCCTGAGGCAGAGATACAGACCATGTCACAGTACAGTCTAACTCACATGGTCCTGAGGCAGAGATACAGAACATGTCACAGTACAGTCTAACTCACATGGTCCTGAGGCAGAGATACAGACCATGTCACAGTACAGTCTAACTCACATGGTCCTGAGGCAGAGATACAGACCATGTCACAGTACAGTCTAACTCACATGGTCCTGAGGCAGAGATACAGAACATGTCACAGTACAGTCTAACTCACATGGTCCTGAGGCAGAGATACAGAACATGTCACAGTACAGTCTAACTCACATGGTCCTGAGGCAGAGATACAGACCATGTCACAGTACAGTCTAACTCACATGGTCCTGAGGCAGAGATACAGAACATGTCACAGTACAGTCTAACTCACATGGTCCTGAGGCAGAGATACAGAACATGTCACAGTACAGTCTAACTCACATGGTCCTGAGGCAGAGATACAGAACATGTCACAGTACAGTCTAACTCACATGGTCCTGAGGCAGAGATACAGAACATGTCACAGTACAGTCTAACTCACATGGTCCTGAGGCAGAGATACAGAACATGTCACAGTACAGTCTAACTCACATGGTCCTGAGGCAGAGATACAGACCATGTCACAGTACAGTCTAACTCACATGGTCCTGAGGCAGAGATACAGACATGTCACAGTACAGTCTAACTCACATGGTCCTGAGGCAGAGATACAGAACATGTCACAGTACAGTCTAACTCACATGGTCCTGAGGCAGAGATACAGAACATGTCACAGTACAGTCTAACTCACATGGTCCTGAGGCAGAGATACAGAACATGTCACAGTACAGTCTAACTCACATGGTCCTGAGGCAGAGATACAGAACATGTCACAGTACAGTCTAACTCACATGGTCCTGAGGCAGAGATACAGAACATGTCACAGTACAGTCTAACTCACATGGTCCTGAGGCAGAGATACAGAACATGTCACAGTACAGTCTAACTCACATGGTCCTGAGGCAGAGATACAGAACATGTCACAGTACAGTCTAACTCACATGGTCCTGAGGCAGAGATACAGAACATGTCACAGTACAGTCTAACTCACATGGTCCTGAGGCAGAGATACAGAACATGTCACAGTACAGTCTAACTCACATGGTCCTGAGGCAGAGATACAGAACATGTCACAGTACAGTCTAACTCACATGGTCCTGAGGCAGAGATACAGAACATGTCACAGTACAGTCTAACTCACATGGTCCTGAGGCAGAGATACAGAACATGTCACAGTACAGTCTAACTCACATGGTCCTGAGGCAGAGATACAGAACATGTCACAGTACAGTCTAACTCACATGGTCCTGAGGCAGAGATACAGAACATGTCACAGTACAGTCTAACTCACATGGTCCTGAGGCAGAGATACAGAACATGTCACAGTACAGTCTAACTCACATGGTCCTGAGGCAGAGATACAGAACATGTCACAGTACAGTCTAACTCACATGGTCCTGAGGCAGAGATACAGAACATGTCACAGTACAGTCTAACTCACATGGTCCTGAGGCAGAGATACAGACCATGTCACAGTACAGTCTAACTCACATGGTCCTGAGGCAGAGATACAGACCATGTCACAGTACAGTCTAACTCACATGGTCCTGAGGCAGAGATACAGAACATGTCACAGTACAGTCTAACTCACATGGTCCTGAGGCAGAGATACAGAACATGTCACAGTACAGTCTAACTCACATGGTCCTGAGGCAGAGATACAGAACATGTCACAGTACAGTCTAACTCACATGGTCCTGAGGCAGAGATACAGAACATGTCACAGTACAGTCTAACTCACATGGTCCTGAGGCAGAGATACAGAACATGTCACAGTACAGTCTAACTCACATGGTCCTGAGGCAGAGATACAGAACATGTCACAGTACAGAGTCCTGAGGCAGAGATACAGAACATGTCACAGTACAGTCTAACTCACATGGTCCTGAGGCAGAGATACAGAACATGTCACAGTACAGTCTAACTCACATGGTCCTGAGGCAGAGATACAGAACATGTCACAGTACTGTCCTGAGGCAGAGATACAGAACATGTCACAGTACAGTCTAACTCACATGGTCCTGAGGCAGAGATACAGAACATGTCACAGTACAGTCTAACTCACATGGTCCTGAGGCAGAGATACAGAACATGTCACAGTGTCTAACTCACATGGTCCTGAGGCAGAGATACAGAACATGTCACAGTACAGTCTAACTCACATGGTCCTGAGGCAGAGATACAGAACATGTCACAGTACAGTCTAACTCACATGGTCCTGAGGCAGAGATACAGAACATGTCACAGTACAGTCTAACTCACATGGTCCTGAGGCAGAGATACAGACATGTCACAGTACAGTCTAACTCACATGGTCCTGAGGCAGAGATACAGAACATGTCACAGTACAGTCTAACTCACATGGTCCTGAGGCAGAGATACAGAACATGTCACAGTACAGTCTAACTCACATGGTCCTGAGGCAGAGATACAGAACATGTCACAGTACAGTCTAACTCACATGGTCCTGAGGCAGAGATACAGACCATGTCACAGTACAGTCTAACTCACATGGTCCTGAGGCAGAGATACAGAACATGTCACAGTACAGTCTAACTCACATGGTCCTGAGGCAGAGATACAGACCATGTCACAGTACAGTCTAACTCACATGGTCCTGAGGCAGAGATACAGACCATGTCACAGTACAGTCTAACTCACATGGTCCTGAGGCAGAGATACAGAACATGTCACAGTACAGTCTAACTCACATGGTCCTGAGGCAGAGATACAGAACATGTCACAGTACAGTCTAACTCACATGGTCCTGAGGCAGAGATACAGAACATGTCACAGTACAGTCTAACTCACATGGTCCTGAGGCAGAGATACAGAACATGTCACAGTACAGTCTAACTCACATGGTCCTGAGGCAGAGATACAGAACATGTCACAGTACAGTCTAACTCACATGGTCCTGAGGCAGAGATACAGAACATGTCACAGTACAGTCTAACTCACATGGTCCTGAGGCAGAGATACAGACCATGTCACAGTACAGTCTAACTCACATGGTCCTGAGGCAGAGATACAGAACATGTCACAGTACAGTCTAACTCACATGGTCCTGAGGCAGAGATACAGACCATGTCACAGTACAGTCTAACTCACATGGTCCTGAGGCAGAGATACAGAACATGTCACAGTACAGTCTAACTCACATGGTCCTGAGGCAGAGATACAGAACATGTCACAGTACAGTCTAACTCACATGGTCCTGAGGCAGAGATACAGAACATGTCACAGTACAGTCTAACTCACATGGTCCTGAGGCAGAGATACAGAACATGTCACAGTACAGTCTAACTCACATGGTCCTGAGGCAGAGATACAGAACATGTCACAGTACAGTCTAACTCACATGGTCCTGAGGCAGAGATACAGAACATGTCACAGTACAGTCTAACTCACATGGTCCTGAGGCAGAGATACAGAACATGTCACAGTACAGTCTAACTCACATGGTCCTGAGGCAGAGATACAGAACATGTCACAGTACAGTCTAACTCACATGGTCCTGAGGCAGAGATACAGAACATGTCACAGTACAGTCTAACTCACATGGTCCTGAGGCAGAGATACAGAACATGTCACAGTACAGTCTAACTCACATGGTCCTGAGGCAGAGATACAGACCATGTCACAGTACAGTCTAACTCACATGGTCCTGAGGCAGAGATACAGAACATGTCACAGTACAGTCTAACTCACATGGTCCTGAGGCAGAGATACAGAACATGTCACAGTACGTCTAACTCACATGGTCCTGAGGCAGAGATACAGAACATGTCACAGTACAGTCTAACTCACATGGTCCTGAGGCAGAGATACAGACCATGTCACAGTACAGTCTAACTCACATGGTCCTGAGGCAGAGATACAGACCATGTCACAGTACAGTCTAACTCACATGGTCCTGAGGCAGAGATACAGACCATGTCACAGTACAGTCTAACTCACATGGTCCTGAGGCAGAGATACAGACCATGTCACAGTACAGTCTAACTCACATGGTCCTGAGGCAGAGATACAGAACATGTCACAGTACAGTCTAACTCACATGGTCCTGAGGCAGAGATACAGACCATGTCACAGTACAGTCTAACTCACATGGTCCTGAGGCAGAGATACAGACCATGTCACAGTACAGTCTAACTCACATGGTCCTGAGGCAGAGATACAGACCATGTCACAGTACAGTCTAACTCACATGGTCCTGAGGCAGAGATACAGACCATGTCACAGTCTGGACTAAAGGACACACCTGTATTTAAGCCACACCAGCTGAAATTGAAAAGAACGTACGTGTTGAACACATATAGACCGTTAGCTTCCACGACTCTTTCAGCGTGACACAAACGTTACTGAGCCAGAAGAGTTTACTTTCACATAGAAGTCAATAGGAGCCAGAGAGAGATGGAGCAAATCTTAATCTTTAGATACTTCCCTATTAGGCTTGATTGAGTTAGCATTAAGCTAGCGGGTTAGCACTGAGCTAGCGGGTTAGCATCTGTGTACAGGCTGTGAATAAACCACACCACAGACGTACTTCAGGACTACTTTCCCGTCATTAAAGGCAGGAGGAGCTGGGAGTGGATTAAGGACGCACAACAGTCTCAGCGGAAACACAACAATAACAACATTGTCTTGTCTTTATTAAAGTAA